CCTCCTGGGCCAATCAGGACCTCGTCAGGAAATAGGTCCCCCTCTCCTCCCACCCCGAAGCACAATCACAGCTCTTTGAACTGGTTGGTAATTATGGAAGCTGCCTTGAAAGAGCCCAGACGCTGTCACCCGCTTGTGCGTGTTGTGGAGGACCTCCCCCGCGGGCAGCGTCCAGGCGCTTCCTTTGTGCCGTCTCAGCATCGGAGTTGCTGATGGAAGCATGAAAGCGCATTAGCATTTTAAGAGATTTTAATAACAGTTCTTAGTTAGACAATAGAGATGGGACAGCTTTCATCAGGAATGCCCTATTTGAATCACTCTGGAGCTAATTCAATCCTTGCTTCAATAAGGGGATAATTCTCTTACGAGAGACAGGGAAATACATAAATTGTGCCTGGGAAACAGGGAGAAATTTTGCAGGCATAGCGTTGTCCCCTGGGTTTTCATGGCTCTTTGTCTGCCTGTCTCTCGGGACACTGGGAATGCTCTGCTTTCGAGCTCACAGTGGACACTTTGCTTACATCAGGGATCTTGGTGAATACCCAGCTTTTCTTGGACCCTGGATCACGGAGCTTCACTCCTGGGAGGTCAAGTGAACTTAATCCCTGGCGGTGGGGTGCAGGTGTTGCAAGGGCAGGTTTGTGCCTTCGCAAAACAGCGCACTCTCAGACCCTCAGCTGTAGGAACCACAGCGTGGGATGTAGAGGTTTTTCTGGAAGGGTTTTAAGTGCACACATGAGCCTCTTCATGAGATTGCAAACTTCTGGGCAGCAGTGAGCATGTCCCTTCCGCTTTGTAGCCTCTAAAAACCCAACACGGGTTGTTGCTGAGAGAGGAAAGGAAAACTGCCCCTGTGTGTGATCATGTTACTGACTAGTCAGCTGGGTTGGAATAAAATGATTCCCCTTAGTTTTCCATATTTTCATTTTCTTCGTGAACGCTTTATTTTCAAATAAAGGAACATATTTGGATAAGTAATTATATGTGACTCCTGTTAACTCTATTTTTAAATGATTTTAAAAAATCATTCCATTTGAGAACTTTGAAAAGTGTTCTTTTTGCCATTATTGGCCAAGAAAGCCACATTTCCCGGTGATTTCCTGAAACCTTTGTCAGGTACACATAAAAGTTGGCTTTCCCTTGACCCAACAGTCTCACCCTCTCTGTGAGGCCACCCCCTCCTCTGAGGCTCACTCTGCAGCCCAGTTGCCACCCTCTTTTAGTTGCCAGAGAACCAGCTTCTATCTCCTGGTCTCTTTCTCTGCTCTTTGCTGCCTCTAAATTCCAATTTAAACCAGGTGTGTCTCTGCTGGGCTGTACCAGGAATCAGAACAGGTAGGAGTGGGGTCTAAACCAAATGAACACGGGGTAAGTCGCAGTGGGGTAAAGGAACTCAAATACTCTGAGGGGGTCATCCATCCATGGGAAAATGCACAGGGAGGTAAAAATGCCTGCATTTTAGCCCCTTCAAGACTTCCTTCTTAGAGAGCCCTTAGGACAGATAGAATGCATCTGCTTGCAGTGAACTAAAGCTTGCTCAGATTAGCTCAAGAAAGAGACTTATGCCCAGCCGGTGTGGCTTATCGATTGAGCATTGACCTATGATCCTGGAGATCATGATTCGATTCCTGGTCAGGGCACATGCCCGGGTTGTGGGCTCAATCCCCAGTGAGGGGGCGTGCAGGAGGCAGCCAATCAATGACTTTCATCATTGATATTTCTACCTCTCTCTCCCCGCCCCCCGCCCTCTCTCCCTCTCCCTTTCCCTCTCTCTCTCTGCCTCTCCTTTTCCCCCCTCCCTCTCCCCATCTTCCTCTTCCTCTCTCTCCCTCTCTCCCCCTTTCCCCCCCTTCCTCTCTCTGAAATCAATAAAGACATATTTAAGAACAAAAACAAAAAGACTTATTAGAAGAACGTTACCTGCTTCCAGGAGAAGTAAGCAAGCAGGCCTGGGACAAGGCAGGTGTCTCTGCAGGGGGTGCAGGGCCTGCATGTTGCACACTTCCCTTTGGCTCTAAGGGTTGGGAGATGGTTCCTCCCCAGAGCTCAGGCCTGACCGGCCAGCTATGGCCTGAGCATGGGGCTGCCCCATTCTTGGTGGTGAGATTTAGACTTGGAGGTAAGCTGGTCACTGTTCACTGCTGTTTCTGGGCACTGACAGTCCACCCCCTTCACCCCTGGAACCCAGGCCAAGCAGCTATCAAAGGGAGTGTCTCCATGTATCTTTGGAGACACAACTTTCAAAAAGATGACATTTGACATTTCTCTCATTTTTAGTCTATCTAGAATTTGGCTGATATGAATTTGATTTGGATCTCTTTTTCCCTTGTCAGACAATTTTCAGTCTAGGAAGGGTTGGATTGGAAGAGGAACAGACTTGGAATGAATTATTTAGCAAAAGGTCTGTTCTAGCCATTGCACATTCAACAATTTAAAAGCAGTTCCCAGCCTGGTTGGCTTGGCTCAGCAGTTGAGCATTGACCTAGGATCCAGGAGACTGCGGTTCGATTCTCGGTCAGGACACACGCCCGGGTTTCAGGCTCGATCCCCAGTTGGGGGCGTGCAAGAGGCAGCTGATCAATGACTCTCTCATCATTGATGTTTCTATCTCTCTCTCCCTCTCTCTGAAATCAATAAAGACGTATTTTAAAAAAGCAACAACCCTTCTTTAAATAAATAAAAGCAGTTCCCAGTCATTCATTTTAAGGCTCTGTGTGTGATAGACGTTTTAAGGAAAGGCACTAATAACTAATATTGAGTTAGTGTTTCATGTCAGTGACTGTGCTAAATGATTTTACATTATGAGCTAATTTTAATTCTTTAGCAAATCTTTGAGCTAGGTGCTGCTACTGTCCCTTATGTTCAGAGGAAAAAGTAAGACTTAGAAAGCTTAAGCAGCTTTTCAAAAAAAGAGGAGATTGGGTTAATCTAAGTATAAAATATATGGAGAAAAAGTAGTGGAAACAAATCGGACAGGCAGGTGTGGGGACATCACGACCTGAATGCCACGCTGAAGATTGGGGGGTTATTCTCTTGATAACGAAGACCCACTGAGGTTTTTGGATCCTGGGGCTCATACCAGAACCATCCCGTGGAAGTTTCCCTGGCAGCAATGCGTGGAGCGGGTGAGGCTAAGGAGCCTTTGACAGCTGCTGAGAGAAGCGTGCGGGGGGGGCAGTGATGAGGTGGGAGCTGTGTGGCGGAGCCGCGGAGAACGTGGTGGGCTTTGCATCCGTTCCCTTTGCGTCGCCCTTCTGGGCCTTGGTTTTGAACAGTCTAGCTTCTAAACATTCTAGCATAGACTCCTGCTCATCTTGGAGCTGCCTAGTGTTTCAGTGGCAACAAAAACAATAAAACAACAAAACAAACGAAAATGCTAAATTTTGAAAAACTTTCGTTGTCGACCAATTACCTTGTATCGTGAGGAAGCAAAATGATGGACTCCTGAGGCGTCAGGTGTTGAGCCGAGTGCGGCATTGCCATCAGGTTAGGGGTGGCCAGCAAGGGCCCGCCCACACCCGCCTTCCCACGCAGCCGCCCGGCGTGGCAGAGGGAAGAAAACAGGACCCTGTGAGGGGCGTTCGCCACGCGGACCCGAGCTGGCTCGGGTGTCTCGGCGTTCCTTTCCAGGCCTCGGGCTTCCTAACAGGACGCGCTGCTTCTGGTTTTATTGCCCACGCAGGTGCAGTTAGTTGCATGGGGTCTGAGAAAACAGCCCCGGTTTTACATGTCTCTTGTTCTCGAGCCTCGTACTTTATTCCAGAAGAACTTGTGGGTGATCCTGATGAAGGGGTGTTTTATAGGTATTGGGCTGTCCTGAGTTTTGAACCAGACAGCTGCCATGAAGCCGTCCACCTCGCCCCGAGGAGAGGAGACCCAGTGTCTCCAGCTAGTGAGCACTCTGGGAAGGGCGGTCCCTGCCCTGTGTCATTTATGTTTTCTTGTAGCAAGTGTGAGTTAAGTACTGTGTGTACCAGACACGGTGCTGCATGTGGGAGCTGCAGCTACCAGGATAGTTTGGCCATAGAAGCAAGTGTGTAAGCGAACCAGTACAAAAATGTCAAAGGTGCTTCTCAAGATTTCATAGGTCCTGTGACCCTGTAAGCTCCTGAAAGGAGTTATTGAGAGAGACAGAGAGAGGAACAGAGACAGAGAAGGAGAGGAGAGAAATTTAAAGATCAAAGGGAAACGTTTGAGTTCAAAAGTGTGTAAGAGCCCTTGGGGATTAAGAAAAGAATTCTGTAAGCCTGCAGTATAATAAACTTAATATGAATAATATTCATATGTGAGGTTTTCAGTTTACCTAAGAACTAGAGATATTTCTGTGTTAGAATGGGAGCTTCAGCTTTTTGTTAAGTTGGAAAATACTTCTTAGTTTTATCTTTTATTTCCCTCTGGTTCCCAGTAATGAAAATCCTTACAGTGCTCAAGAGGGATTCCTGCTACTTTAGGGCCTGTGAAGGCGAGGGTTGAGCCGTCTTTACAGACCCTGCACACGGGATCCTGAATTCACAGGAGGGTGTGGAAGGTGATGCAGTCTGGGGCACGGGGCTGGAGTTCTCAGAAGGGTTTGCCCTTAGCAGGGGCTCCCTAGGATCAGCCACAGGAGTGGCTGGGAGACCTGGGGATTCACTGCTGACTTGGAATAATCTGTGGTTCTAAGACTTATTTTGCCACTCCATGAGTACCCTGTAGAGCTCCAATGCCATATAAATCTCCTTTATTTCACTGAGGTAAAAAACAAACACAATATCAAAGAGAGTAACACACTGTCAATTTTCCTGATGTCTAATCCTAATAGAAAATATCATCTCTAAGGAAAAAATGCATGAATGTGATGTGTGTAGGGAGAGAGGTGAGATGGAAAGAAAGGCAATGCTTCGTCTATTTCTGTATCACTGTATTTTTACATTCTATTAGCATTTTCTGTTATCTAAGGATTGGCTAGCTAAAGATTTGTAAAGTCTTCCTGATAAATAATGGTCATTCTCTTCTTTCAGCAGATTTCTGCACATGGCAGATCTTCTTCCAATATAAATGGTGGACCTGAACTTGATCGTTGCCTGAGTCCCGAAGGTAGTTCTCAATCTGATGGTTACTTTTATAAGGAAGTCATCCATGTGAACTCGGTGGTCATCCCAAATCCACTTGTGCTAAATTACCTTCCTAAACAGGGATATGGTCATGTCACTAAATTGGCCTTAGTGGTTGTTAATTAAGCTATTCTAATTTCATTTTTTGACTTTAGTTTCCTTTATTTTTCCTTATAGATTTTCTTTATATTATGTCTGCAATATACTGGGTCTTGGAGATATATTGTAAAAAGTAATTGATCTTAACCACTTCCTCCTCCTGACCCCCACCCACCACTACCATCACCTTTCTGAGAAGACTTTGAGCCAGAAATTAGCTTAAAAAAAAAATACAGGGTGTTCCAAAAAAAATGTATACACACTTTAAATAATTATAAATTCCAATGGGTCAAATGAAAAGAAAGAAACATCAATTGAGCTATCAGCTGTTACAGTGTGTATACATTTTATGGGATACCCTGTGTGTGTGTGTATGTATATATATATATATATATATATATA